CATTCAATCACATTATTTTGCTTTCAATGTGTATATTTCAACATGTGAACATTTCTCCCTAGTCCAGTTGATAAAAGTATAAAATTATCTTCAACAGATAATACCACATTTCTTTGTCCCATTTGGATTTGAGTCTTTTCTTCTAGATAACTCCTGTGCGGTTTCATGATAGTTGTATAAAATGTTGCAGTCTACTGTTCTGCCATTTATATTGAAATTAGCAAAAGAAAAACTTACATGGAGTTTCCCCTAATATATACAGAACGGGTTTCATCAGAAAGAACAGACTGAGTTTTATAAGTAAATTAATAAATGAATACAAGTAATAACCACAAAACATAACCAGTTACTGGGTACTTGATATCATCTGCACATGCCACTATACTGAATTATTTTCATAATCCTGGAAAGTAGATATTATTATTTCTGTTTTACAGATGAGAAAACTGGGAGTAGATTAAATACACTGTTGAAAGTCAGTAGTTGACAAGTGATTGAAGCAGATGTCTGATTAGTTAATGTTTGCTCTAAATCTGTGCTAATTCCACAATCCAGTAGTGAAAAGAATTTTTTTGAATTATTTAATTTAATTTTATTTATTTACTTATTTTTAAAAATTTGACCAGAGAGGGTCAGAGAGAGAGAGGGATAGTGAGAAAGCAAGCCACTAGGTCTGGGACTTGAACTGTTGTTGGCCATGTGGGAGGCCAGTGCCCTTAACCATCATGCCAACTTCCGGCCCCGAGAAAAGGATGGTTTGAGTATCTGGGGATGGGGCAGGAGAGCCATATTCCTCAGACCTGCATCCATTACGCTGTTCTCTACAGTTTTTTATTTCCTCACTAGAAAAGTGAAGACAGTAAAATAACATTGACATGAGTATTTTATAAAGGTTAGGTGTGAAAATTTATTGTTATCTTTTAACTCACCTTTTAAAAAACACATAACTTTCTTTTTTTTTTTTTTGTCTATATGGGTGTGCGCTTACCAGAGAGACAGAAAGCGAGAAATCATCCCCCGGGTGGATGGCCACGCTGCAATCCCTTTTTCTCCATTCTCTTCTTGGATCTTGGGCACACACGCACGCACGTGTGCCCAGCGTGAGTTTAAGCTACTGGGTCCAGGATTTGGTCGATTACATGGGAGTCCAGTGACATAGCCATTTCTTGAACTGCTGGTCCCAACACTTAACTTTCAAAAAGGATTTAATTGAATATAAATGTTGGCCCAGCCTCATGGTAACATGGTAACATGCTAAATTGCAGTGCTGGAAGCCACAAGGCTGACTGTGGGTTTGGTTCCCTAGCCTGGTCTGCCTGAAACTCACAGGATATCTGCTTGTGTGCTCAGAATCCTGATAAGCTGGACAGTTAAGGAAAGAAGACGGTGACATAATAAGACCCTATCGAGGGTTCTCCTCTCTCTCTGTCCTGTGCATATGCACGTTCTATGAGAAACTTATAGAGAGGGGCTGGCAGGTGGCACAGTGGTTACGGTGCTATACTGCCACATCGCTGATTGTGGTTCGAGTTCCAGACCAGGTGGCTTGCTTTCTCACTTTCCCTTTCTCTCCAACTCTGTTTCTGGTCAAATTAATAATAATAATAATAACAAACAAAATAAATCTTAAAATTGTAAGAGAAAAGACTGATTTCTTCCCTTCAATCAGTCAGGTAATAAGATTGTGTACATTTTAGCATGTTTATTAAGTTTTGTTTTCTGTGTGTGTATGTTTAAGCACATATAATTTACTATAAATAAAAATGTGTAATTTGTAAATGGTTATTAAACTAAAAAGGAAATAATAAAACCTAGCAGTTTTCTCTTTGCTATACTCTTACACAAATCTCTGACATCAGGTGTGTGGGTCCCCTCCTCCCCGCCCCACAC